TATGGAAATAGGAAGGACTTAGAATAGTCAAACAACTTTGAAAAAATAAGAAAATTAGAGGATTTACATTATCTGACTTCGACACTTATTATACACCTACAATAATCAAGACAGTAGAACTAGCAACACAAAGCTAAAAATACAATCCAATACAACAGAAGACAGGATTTAGAAAGAGACCTTCATATTATGATTAATTGATTTTAAATAAAGGAATATAGGCAATTCAGTAGAAAATTCAACAAATTATGCTGGAACAACTGGATATCCACAAGTAAATGAACTTGGATCCCATAAATCAAACTTTATACAAAAATTAACTCAAAATGAATCAGAGACCTAAACATAACAACCAAAATCTTATAAGTTTCTAATACAAAATATAAAAGACAACTTTAGTGATCTTGGGTTTGTCTCAGGACATAAAAAACAAAACAAAAAATTTTTTTTAAATTGATAAATCCGACTTCATCAAAATTAAGAACTTTGCTCTTTCGAAACACTGTTAAAAGAATGAAAAGACAAACGAAAGACTGTGAGAAAATATGTGCATATCACATATTTGATACAAAAAGAACTCTTAAAACTAAATAATAAGAAGAAAATAGGTCAATCAAACAATAAACAAAAGATTTGACCTGACAATTTATCAAATATATGTGGTGACGACAAGCACATGAAAAGATACTCAGTATCAGTAGTCATCAGGGAAATGCAAACTGATACCACTACATACATATGTGAATGGCTGAAGTAAAAAAGAATTAAACAACTTTTGGTAAAAACTGGAGCAATATAGTTAGTATTGACTAGTATTTAGTTCACAAACTAAATTTCTGAGTATGTAGCTCTGATAAAACGTTTTATTCAATGAGGATCAGATTAGCAGTAAATGCAAGATCTTGAATAAACAGATGCTTTTGCTAGTACTAGTGAGAGAGGATCTTTACTCACTGTGTTTTTGGACGGCTCCCAGGCAGCATCCACCTTCCCCACATCTTGCATATCTTGGAGCTGACGTAGCTGAGACAAAGTGTGATGCCTCAGAGCTTCATGCAAAGGAGTATCCCCATCCTTATCCTGAATATCTAGTTTGGCACCTGCACGGACCAAAAGCTAAAAGGGAAAGAGGTCTTGTTGGGTAAATATCCACAACACAAGAAACCAAACATGTCTACAGTAACAGTGAGAGGGCCCTGGACCTACTGTAAAGTCGCCACTAAAGCAAATGATTATGTCTTTGTTTTTCTACTATTCCATACCCTGTGACTCCTTAGAAAGGGTGATGTGTTGCGGTCATTCAAATATATTAAATTAGAGAAAATTAAAATAAATGAAAATCAACATGTTGCTTAATTCATCTACTCTAAGGTGACAATAACGGGGAAATTTAGATTTTTTTCCTCCATTTAATTTTAGACATATGACTTGAGATATCTTAAGTTCAAAATTCTTCTATCATTTTTAAAAAAACAAGTAGGCAGGGCTTGGTGGCTCAGCCTGTAATCTCAGCACTTTGGGAGGCCCAGGAGAATAGACTGCCTGAGTCTGCAGATTCGAGACCAGCCCGGGCAACTTGGCGAGACCTCGTCTCTACAATAAATCAAAAATTAGTCTACAGCGTGTGCCTGTAGTTCCGACGATTTGGAAGGCTGAGACGGAAGGCTTGCTGGAGCCCAGCAGATTGATGCTGGGGTGGCCATGAGTGTGCCACTGCACTCCAGTCCGGGCGATGGAGTGAGACTCCAACTAAAAAAATAAATAAATAGTAAGAAATAAAAAAACAAGCAAAAGTCATTATTGATTCCATTCTCTTTTGGTCAATCTTCTCCAAGTGTATGGTCATGAGGAAAGTCATGAAGGACAGCAAAAGGAATTTCAAATAACAATAAATGTGAAAAGTATTTGCTAAACTACAACCTCTTAGATGAAATGCATAATGGATACATTTCTAAAGATTACTTAAACTGTAAATGCAAGTTTATTTAAGACTTTGCTTATGGTGCTTTAACAATTTTCCTAAACTTTTCTGTGAAAACTATCAAATAGCTTTAGAAAAATACCATCAATAGACTCCAACCTCAAAGCATAACAGCTTACCTGTCTTGGCAAAATTTTTTTTCTCCTTGTTTCAAAAAGGTTACATAAAATGTCACTCTAGGACAATTATTTCTCAAATTTGAACATGCATCAGAATTACCCAGAGGGCTTGCTAAACCAGAGATTGCTGGTTCCTACTCCTAGATGCTCTGATTTAGTTGATCTGAAGTAGGGCCTGAGAATTAACTTTTCTACCAAGTTCCCAGGTAATGCCAATGCTGCTGTTCAGCCTCCAAACTTTAATAATCATTGCTCTACAAAAATATTTAAGCTGATACTCTTTCAAATACTATTTGAAATGGATACTCATTGGAACACCAGATTAGTAAACTAAAAAAATATACTGCAGGCTGGGCATGGTGGCTCATGCCTGTAATCCCAACACTGTGGGAGGCAGAGGCGAGAGGACTGTCTGAGCCCATGGGCAACTTGGTGAGACTGCATCTCTACAATTAACTAAAAGAAATGAGTCAGGCATGGTGGCATACACCTGTAGTCCTAGCTACTCAGGAGGCTGAGGTGGAAGGATTGTGTGAGCCCAGCAGGTCAAGGCTGTGGTGGCTGTGAACATGCTACTGTACTCCAGCCTGGGCGACAGAGACTCCCACTCAAAAAATAAAAATAAAAACATAAAAATATATTTCTACTTTTTTGGAATTTGCAGCAGCAAATGTCCAGCCAATGCCTTTAATTTGTACTTTATGCTCCATTATACATATTAAGAGGGAATGTATTTTTTAAAAACTAATCCATATGTTTCAAGTTTTTTATTTAATATTCTGCAAATTCACACCTCTGGCAGCAAAAGCAAAAGACTCTGAATATCAGAATTTTAAGAAATACACTATTAGGTGTTACAACTCTTTACCTAACTGACGCAAAATGCTAGCCTAAAATCAGTTTTGTATCTAACCATGCCTTTTTGAGAAATCTAGCACTGTATCACTTCAATTTTGAAGAAGTTCTAAATATTTGTCTGATTAAAATAGAATTATAAGCTAAAATTTATGTTAATAAATACTTTACCCTAACAATTTGGGTGTGCTGTCGTTCAACAGCAAGGTGTAGGGCCGTTTGTTGATTCACATTCTGGATATCCAGGTTTGCATTACCCTGAACAGGAAGAACAAATTTTAAATGGTTAAAATTTGAAAACATTTAAGAACACTAAACCATAGCTATTCATAAGGAATAAATAACACTGGACCCTGTAGACTATTTTCTCCTTCTTCAGCTGCTGTAACATTATTCTCATATGGTAACAGTTGCTGTTAAAGTAGGAAAAAGTCGATGGGGCGGCAAACTTCCTGAAGTAGAACATCAAGTTCAAAAACTATCTTCATTATGGTGAGGCCATTGAAGAACAGTTAAAGGACAAAGCACAGTAAAGTTCAAACACAGCTCTTTTTCAATCTCCATTACATAGCAATGGAGATAATTGACTCCTCTGAACTGTAAATATTCCTTGAAAAGTTATATTAATGAGTCTTCATATTGGATTTAGATTTACTTTAATGACCTGATCAATTCACTTCCCCTTGCTGCATAGTTGAGCTCTTCTTCATTCAGTGAAAATAAACTTGGCTTGAGGTTACAAGAAGGCAGTGCTTAATTAGTACATGCAAATATTTATTAAAGGGAGCAGAAAGTTCTATCCAGAATCCTAGGATAGCCAAAAGACTATATGAAAAACAGCTGATTCCTAATAGGGGAAAGGAACTGAAGAGCAAAACAAACGCACTTGAATTCAGGCAAGGTCAGGGTGAAGTTCTATCATGTACAAGCTACTTGAACTTAAGCAAGCATTATACTGCTACACCTATTTCCTGCACCAAAGTGGTGACAATACAACCTAATTCACAGGGTTAATGTGAGGATTAAGAAAAATAACATTCAAAAATACCTAGCAAATATCTGGCATAATAAAGAAAATGAAATTAAGAAAAGAGCTATAGATTCAAAAAATAAATCTGTATCATTTCATTTAGGTCTTAGAAACATTCACGTCCTCTGACTACAACTCTGATACCCACCCTGTGCCCTTGCTCAGGATGCCAGGTGAAGCTAAAACTCTAGTAATTTTATGCTGTAGACTGTATAATGAAAATTTCTGGTTTGTTTTTATTATGTATATTATTTCAGTGTGGTCTTAAGGTACCTGATCTCAACTTATTTTTCATATTTATCCTGATAAAAATGTGAATAGTGGGGGACTTTCTTTTTAAGTGTACTGCACTTCTCTAACATTTAGATTTTACTAAGTAGTAGTCATTGTGCGAGCACACCACAATCTGTTTATCCAGGCACTAGCTGATGAACATTTGGATTGCTTCCAGAGTGGGGCTATCATAAATAAAGCTGCTATAAACATTTAGTACAATACTTGCATGGAAATGTGCCCTAAGTTCTCTTAGGATACACACCTAGAAATGTGACAGCTGGGTCACACAATAGATATATGACTAACTTTGTAAGAAACCACCAAACTGTTTTTCAAAGTCTTGCTTTTAAAAACACCAGCAAACTATGTGAATCCTAATCAATTCTTGGTTTTGTTGGTCTTTTAATTTTAGCCATTCTAATGGGTGATTGGTAGTATCTCACTGTGGTTGTAATTTCTGTTTTCCTAATGACCAATGATACTTTTATTTGCTAACCGTGTATTTCTTTTGGTAAAGTATATGTTTAAATCTTTTGCTCATTCTTATAGGGCCATTTGTCCTTTTATTAAGTTGTAAAAGTATATATCCTGAATACCAGTCCTTTGTCGACTATATGTTTTCCCTTGTGTGCTTTCCTGTTTCTTTTCTTTCCTTTTTTTTTTGAAAGCAGGATTTATTGAGAGGACAGAAGAGCTCCTGCAGTGGGAGGGGACCCGAAATGGTTGCCCTATTTATTTTCTTAATGGTGTCTTTTGATGAATAGAAGTTTAATTTTTGATGAAGTCTATTACTTTTTTTTTCTTTTAAAAACCTTTGTGTACCTCCATGTTAGAAAATATACGCCTATGTTTTCCTCTAAAGCTTTATGGTTTAAGCTTTTATGCTCAGCGATATTAACACATTTAATTTTTGTAGAAGGTCTGAAGTAAAGGTCGAGTTTTTTGTTTGTTTGTTTGGGTTTTTTGGGGTATATGGATACCTACTAGTTCTAGTCCCATTTTTGGTCAAGTACCCTTTCCCACACTTAATTACTTAAGCAACTCTGTCAAAAATTGAGAATATATAATTTTTTTTTTAAGTTATCTGAGTTACTGTCCAATGTGTAGTTCTGCTTCTGCATCCTCTATTCTCTTGATCTTTACACTCACTATGTAGAAAATACTAAGGAACCTACAAAGAAGGTACGAAAACTAATAAATAAGTTTAAGCAAGGTCACAGGATATATGGGCGATATACCCCCAAAAAAGCATTTATCTATACCAACAAAATACAGTTGGAAATTGAAATGTAAAAACAATACAATTTATTATAGCATCCCCAAAAAGCTACTGAAGACTAAATCTAATATATGCAAGAGCAATCAGACTCACAACACACTTTTTAATAGAAACTAATAAGCTGATTCTAACATTTGTATGGAGAGGCAAAAGATCAAGACTTATTTATTGCTATAAAGCAACAATAGCCAAGACAGCATGGTAATGGCATTATGTCGATCATTTAAATTCAAACAAAAAGAAATTATCATAATTAACAGAGCAGTAACGTTAACAGTAGAGACTTAAAATGGTGGGGGAGGGGAAATGGTAGTTTAACTTCTGAACTATTTCTTTAAATGTCTGTAGTTTTGGGAGTGTATATCTTATAATCTGGTACTTCATTGCATATAACATATATATTATGTGCTAAACTTTTCTGCTGTTTCTTCTTCTTAACTAGACTGTACATTTTTTCAAGTCAGGAATCACAGAAAATTCTTTGATAACATCAGTACATCTAAATGGCATATGCTTTTTTTGAAGCATTTAAACATTTTGGTGCATATACTAAGACATCATAAATCTGTAATAAATAGGTTCTTCAGCCCCAAATCCAATCTCATAAAAAAGTGGAATTATCTTATTTCTGAGATGAATGAAATTACTAAGGTGAGCCTATGCTGCTGTCCAGCCACAAATTCCAGGGGTCCAACTGGTTGTGAAACAAGTCCCCAGGATCCTGGCTGCAGTCCACAGTCTGACGACAACTGGCCACACTAGCTTAAATATCAACATGGAGAGTTCTTGGTGCTGTGGTTGATGATACTTCTACAGCAGTGGCAGCAATTCTGGGAAATCCCTATTAGTCACCGGCCCAATCCAGAAAGACTGTGCAGAGGAAATACTGGGAGCTGAGGAGGTCAATCCTCACACACATATCACCCCCTTGCATTGAAGAAGTGTGAGATGGGAGACAGAATATGCATTACACCTGAATTTTCATCATCATGGGGTTTCACTGTAAGCTACTAACAGGCAACTGATAAAGTAACAAATAATCAAATGGCAATGGTCCTATGTTGATTTAAAAAATTATTAAACTGCTTTTCCTACCTGATGAACCAACAGTTCAGCCACTTCTACATGATTATTAAGGGCAGCCAGATGCAAGGCAGTATAACCATCATCTTTCTTCTCATCCACGATCCATGGTCTTGGTAATTTAGATAGTAAAACACGCATTGCGCTGAAAGTTAAATTCACATTTTTATTTTTTAAAATTTTGTTAAAAATGTCTTGTATTAGATTCAGGGAGTACCCATGCGCATTCATTACATGGACATATTGCATAGCAGTGGGGACTGGGTTTCAGGTGGCCTGTTCCCCAGATAGAGAACACTGTGCTCGTAGATTATTTATTTTTTTAGAGATCTGCATCTTGCTATGCTACCCAGGCTGATCTTGAACTCCTCAAAGGAAGCCATTCTCCCATCTCAACATCCAGAGTGGCTGGAACCACAGGTGGATGCCACCACGTTTGGCTAGCTCTCTGGTACTTTGAGAGGTGGACAAACTATCACTACTTGGGAAACAGAATCAAAATAGAATAGAAGAGCTACCAAGGGGAAACATTTTAAGAGGAAAAAAAGCCAAAGGGGAAAGAAATACTGCCTGATGAGGGCACAAGTTGACTTTGTGAAATCTCTCAGGTTCAATTTCGATAACATCTATTAGTGAAAGAGTTCATGAAGAATAGCCAAGTAACAAGAAAAAAGTAGGAAAAATTGTAAATTAAGACACTATGTATGCTGAACATACCTAGCTAGTAGATTATCATGTAGCTGGCAGATTATCATGAACTGCAGAGTCAGAATTTGATGTAGGTCAGTTAGTAGTATTAAATCAAGTTTGGATCAAAACACACTAAATGGTAATTATGACTTACAATTATAATTTAATATTTAAGAATTGATAACAAAATCTTTCCAAAGCAAAAAAAGACGAAGATATCCTAAAGAACATCAAAGATTTAAAACGCCAAGCATACAAGGGAGAACTAAGTTCAAAAAGTCAGAGAAAAGGTTCTGGAGGATCCAAGAACCTCCAAAATTGTACTCAAGTTTGGAAGCTTTTATGAGACTTTTAAACAGGTTTATGTCCCAGTATACTGAGAATCACAGCTTAAAGACCCCTTTCAGTGGCTGTTACTGAATTACAATCACTGATTGGGGATGACAGACTTCTCTGGAAATCTATGGAAAGCTATGGACTCTTTTCCAGAGAAATGTATGTAAAAATCTTTATCTACACTTTTGAATGAGTCTACAAACCCTAAATTCAACATATGGACCTCATATAAGACTAAGGTTTCCTGGTTTAGTTTGCTTTCACTCACTATTAAAGATCTTAATCCTCCTCACTTAGTGGATTTTTTTTTGGGGGGGGTTGGAGTTTCACTCTGTCACCCAGGCTGGAGTGCAGGTGGTACACTCACAGCCACCGCAGCCTCGACCTGCTGAGCTGCAGCAATCTTTCTGCCTCAGCCTTCCAAGTAGCCAAAACTACAGGTGTGCGCTACCACACCCGGCTAATTTTTTGATTTATTGTAGAGATGAGGTCTCATCAAGTTGCCCAGGCTGGTCTTGAACCTGCAGGCTCAGGCAATCCACTCGCCCCAGCCTCCCAAAGTGCTAGGATTACAGGCTGAGCCACTGAGCCCAGCCACTCAGTGGATTACAATAAAATACTAGATATTATATAGACTTTAAAGCTCAGAATGTTAATGGGGGAAAACTATTAGTACCAGATTATACAACTGAATGTTTGAATAATCATGATGCTAACACCATACATCATCTACTACCTTACACATCTGACCATGCAAGAAACAGAATTTATGATTCTTTTGGAAAGTTTAGAAAATAAGTCATGTGGAAAAAAGTTGTTATTAAAAACAAAATGTAATCATTAAAAATAATAAAGTATATACTTGCTATTGATTTAAAAACTGTGATTTAATCATGTTGAAAAGAATAAAAGTAATAGAGGGTATTAGTTTTAAATCTTCATTTTCATTTTTTTTTTTTTAACTTGAACTCACTCTGTTGCCCAAACTGGAGTACAGTGGCATGATCACGGCTCACCACTGCCTTGACCTCCTGGGCTCAGGCAATCAATCCTTCTACCTCAGCCTCCTGAGTAGCTTGGACTACAGGCAATCTTTACCATGCCCAGCTAATTTTTTAATTTATTGTAGAGACGAGGACTCCCCAGGTTGCCCAGGTTGGTCTCGAAGCCCTGGGCTCAGGCAATCCTCTAATTTTGTTTTTTGTAGAGACGAGGTCATGTTATGTTGCCCAGGCTGTCCTCAAACTCCTAGGCTCAAACAATCCTCCTACCTCAGCCTCCCACAATGCTGGGATTACAGGCATGAGACATCATGCCAGGCCTAAATCTCCATTTTCCATAATATGAGATCACTAGATGCCTAAACTGACAAATTAAGAAATTGCAGGATAAGCTGCAAGCTGTTTAGAGGCAGGAAACAAAGAGTAGGAGAGATGAAGCAGAAGATAGTTATCTTTCACTGCAAGCTCTGTAGTAGTATTTGACTTAACTATGTACATATATTAGTTTGACTTTAAGACATTTCCAAAGCCAAAACATTAAGATAATATTTGGGCTTAATGCACTAAAATCTTTTTAATTCACACCTTTATTCACTTTAGTCAAGATACACCAATGTTATGATAAGTTTGGGGGTTTTTTTTGAGTTGGAATCTCACTCTGTCATCCAGACTGGAGTGCAGTGACACGTTCCTGGCCACCGCAGCCTCGACCTGCTGGGCTCTGGCAATCCTTCCGCCTCAGCCTTCCAAGTAGCTGGAACTACAGGCGCATGCTACCATGCCCGGCTGATTTTTCGATTTATTGTAGAGATGAGGTCTCGCCAAGTTGCCCAGGCGGGTCTCGAACCTGCGGACTCAGGCAATCCACTCACCTCAGCCTCCCAAAGTGCTGGGATTACAGGTTAAGCCACCGAGCCCGGCTGATAAATTTTAAATTATAAAGTGTGGTTCATGCTAACTTCGTCAAGTTGTTTTAAGTCACATTAATTAAGCAGATATTCCTTAGACATTGGTTTATGCAATCATGTTTTCCACTGACTTCCATTCTAGTTTCAGTAGTATATTCCCAAACTTCACTGCTAATAGCTCAAAAGAAGGAGACAAGAGGGAGCAACCCAGGCTTGGGGTATAAGCTGTCTGCTGAGATAGAACCATCACTTATTTGTCCTTCTGGTCTTGTATTACATAAGTGAACAAGCTAAGGAAAGCTTAAAGTCTCTCAGAGAGAAGAGTCAATGGCTCGGAAAGTTCCTAAGGTAAGAAATAAGCCGGGTTCGGTGGCTCAGCCTGTAATCCCGCACCTGAGGCTGAGGTGAGTGGATTGCCTGAGCCCGCGGGTTCAAGACCAGCCTGGGCAGCGAGACCTCATCTCTATAATAAATCAAAAACTCAGCCGGGCGTGGTAGTGCATGCCTGTAATTCCGGCTACTTGGAAGGCTGAGGCGGAAGGATCGCCAGAGCCCAGCAGGTCAAGGCTGCGGTGGCTGGGAGCGGCCACTACACTCCAGTCTGGGTGACAGAGTGAGACTCCAACTCAAAAAAAAAAAAGAAAAAAAGAAAGAAAGAAATATGTATTCTTGAACGCCTACTGTCTCTCTGTTCTCTCCTTACTTTGTGTCCTTTTGCTTTGTCTTCTCTTAGTAGGATATGTACAGTTGAACTGCCAGAACAAGGGAAAAAAAGTAACTCCAGGCTGTGGTTGGAAGTGATGGAAATTATCCTAGTCCCTTCCAGATCACCTTCTACAAAGTTAACCAAATCCTAATACTAAAATTCAAAGTGCAGATCTTCAGGGAGGTATTTTTCATTTCAAAACAAATCCATTCTGTTAATTAATTCCACTTACATAAATGTTGTAAATTATACTATAAAATAATCACAATTAAAATACTGTCTCTGTTCCTCTCTTAATATCTGAGAGAATAAGAAGTACACCACAAATCATTCCAACAAAAAGACACCTGCCCATGCATGTTTACTGCAGTGCTATCCACAACAGCAAAAGCATGGAATCAACTTAGGTGCCCATCAGTGGTGGAATGGCTACAGAAAATGTGGTACGTATGCACCACCACGGAATACTACACAGTCATGAAAAAGAACAAGACCATGTCCTTTGCAGCAACATCGATGCAGCTAGAGACTATCATCCTGAGTGAATTATCACAGAAACAGAAAACTGAATACCGTATGTTCTCCCTTAATAAGCAAGCACTAAACACTGCATGTACATGAACACAAAAATGGGAATGACACTAGAGCACTCCTAGCAGGGAGGGAAGAGCTGAAAACTACCCACTGGGTGCCATGTCTACCACCTGGATCATGGGCTCAGTAGAGGCCCAAGCCGCACCATCATGCAGTATTCTTATGTAACAAGCCTATACATGTACCTCCTGAATCAAAATAGAAAATAAAACTAACTAAATAAAAGAAACAATATGTTTAATTACCTCAATATATTTAAAAAAAGAGAAAAAAGAAACATACCACAAAAACAGGAAGAAATGTGGCATTATTTAATACAAGTGTTTCACTTAAAACCGATTAAATAAATCATTACAATACTAACAAGGTATTTTAAATAGAAATGGTAACTTCTAATTTCTTACAGAAACAATATAATTTTGGCAAATGAAGTGACTACATCAGACAACAATTAATTAAGTAAAAATATACAGACAACGACTAGAGAAAAAGATTCATACAAGAGGAGATCCGGAAGTCCAACTGGGCTAAAAATTAAATGACCAGGATGGAATTACAATTAAAAAGATGCAAATAGCCAGGTTTGGTGGCTCAGCCTGTAATCCCGCGTCTTTGGAAGGCTGAGATGAGTGGATTGCCTGAGCCCGCGGGTTCGAGACCCGCCTGGGCAAGCGAGACCTCATCTCTACAATAAATCAAAAAATCAGCCGGGCGTGGTAGCGCACGCCTGTAGTTCCGGCTACTTGGAAGGCTGAGGTGGAAGGATTGCCAGAGCCCAGTCTGGGCGACAGAGTGAGACTCCAACTCAAAAAAAAAAAGATGAAAATAATGTGTCTTTGTCTGGAAATTAATTGGTTTAAAAAGAGAGAGATCATGGTTTGTGTGAAGACTGGAGAAAGAATGAGAAAAA